CAATATGTCTGAAGTATGAGAGATGAAGTTTGGCCATCCTGGCCTCCAAGGAGCACTCTGGCTGCACTTCTTCCAAAACGGATCTATTGGTTCTTTTGACAGCCCATGGCACTTTCAACATTCTCCTCTAACACCATAACTCAAAAGCATCAGTTCTTCTACGGTCTTCCTTATTCACTGTCCAGCTTTCTCATACATATGAGGTTACTGAAAATACCATGGCTTGGGTCAGGCGCACCTTAGTCTTCAAGCTGACAGCTTTGCTCTTCAACACTTTCAAAAGGTCTTGCGCAGCAGATTTGCCTAATGTAATACATCGTTTGATTTACTGACTGCTGCGTCCATGAGTTTTGATAGTTGATCCAAGAAGAATGAAGTCCTTGACAATTTCAATCTTTTCTCCATTGATAAGAATGTTGTTAATTGGTCCAGTGGTGAGGATTTTTGTTTTCTTGACATTGAGATGTAATCCATACCGAAGGCTGTGCTCTTTGATCTTCATGAGTAAATATTTTAAGTCCTCTTCACTTTCAGCAAGCAAGGTTGTATTATCTGCATATCACAGGTTGATAATGAGTCTTCCTCCAATCCTGATGGCATGTTTTTCTTCATAGAACCCAGCTTCTCGGATTATTTGCTCAGCATACAGGTTGAATAAGTATGGTGAAAGAACACAACCCTATCACACACCTTTCTGAATTTTAAATCACCCAGTGTTCCCATATTCTGTTCAAACAACTGCCTCTTGGTCCATGTACAGATTCCTCATGAGCACAATAAAGTGTTCAAGAATACTCATACTTTGCAATGTTGTCCATAGCTTGTCATGATCTACACAATCAAAAGCCTTTGCGCAGTCCATAAAGCACAGGTAAACATCTTTCTGATATTCTCTGCTTTCAGCCAAGATCCATCGGACATCAGCAATGATATCCCTCGTTCAATGGCCTCTTCTGAATTCAGCTTGAACCTCTAGAAGTTCTCTGTCAATGTATACTTGTAGCCATTTCTGTATTGCCTTTAGTAAAACTTTACTCGCATGGGATATCAAAGAGATTGTCCAATGATTTTCACATTCCATTGGGTCACCTCTCTTTGGAATGGGCACATATACGGATATCTTCCAATCAGTCAGCCAGATAGTTGTCTTCCAAATTTCTCGGCATAAATGAGTGAGTGCCTCCTGTGCCGCCTCACTTGAAAGATTTCAATTTGTATTCCATCACTTCCTGGTGCCTTGTTCTTTGCCAATTCCTTCAATGCACCTTGGTCTTCCTCCTTCAGTATCATTGGCTCTTGATCATATGCTACCTCTTGAAACAATTGAACATTAACTATTTCCTTTTGGTACAGTGACTCTGTGTATTCCTTCCATCTTCCCTTGATGCTTTCTGCATCACTCAATAATTTACCCAGAGAATCTTTCAGTAACGAAAGTTGAGGCTTGAACTTTTTCTTCAGTTCCCCCAGCAATGTGTATTTCTATCTAAGCTTCTACAGTCATCTCCCATGGAACTTCAGGACCAGAAGAGAAATGTATCAAAAAGGCTTAAGCACTGTCCTCTGGTCAGAGGGCCTCCAGGGAAAGAACCATTCTGTCTGTTTTATCACTCCATGTCTCCTGCTAACTTGAAAAAGGAACATAGCAGACACACACCCTGTACTAATTTTTTTCATCCTCCATATAATTCTGGTCATCTGGACACAGTAAAAATATATCAATGTGTTATTGAAAGCTAATCACATGAATGTAGCCTACTTTTGTCCTTTGACTTTTCCAGCTTTCTGACAGCATTATATGAGCACAAGCCTTAATTCTGGGGCCTTTCAAACTACTCACTATCTCTATATTACCTATATCCTTGCTACTCAAAGTGGAGTACACAGACCACCAACCTCAGCATCACCTGGAAACCTGTCAGAATTGCAGACTCTCAGACCACCTGAACCAGAATCTGCCTATTAACAAGATCACTAAGTGATTTGCATGCATATTGTTGTTGTTAAATGCCACCAGTCGATTCCGACCTATAGCGACACTGTATAAGGTTTCTAAGGAGTAGCTGGTGAGCTTGAACCACCAACCTTGCAGATCAAACGACTTTGCATTAGCCCACAGCACCACACCAGAAACCTATATGCATATTAGAGCTTGAAAAACACTGTATCAGAACAGGCGGTGTTGATATTGGCTCACCACTTTCATGTTTGATCTGAAATCATGAAACTTTGAAACTTCCAGGAACGGTTTAATACCTTTGCAAACTCACAACCTTAAAGGTCAGAAAGATGACAAGCTGAGATGGCAAATATCCTTCTGGCTATTTTTTTACAAGGCTTAAAAGAATCAGGGGTGGGGGGTGGGGAGGGTGGCGGGGAATTAAAGTGAGTAAAACTGAACGAATAAGAGAAAGTTAACATTGTGCCTCACACTTCAGTGCAGGGACACTGATGGTACCAGGAAGCGTGGACATACAGAGTATAAGCTAAGGAACATAAAGTGTTTCGCCTCTAAATTTTACTGTAATACATAATATATTACACTGAACAGCTCAGGGGAGTGCAATGGCTTTGTAGGATAAGCACTGGATTATGAATTACAAGGTTGGCAGTTGAGCCCACCAGCTTGTTCTGCAAAACAAAGAGGGGGCTTTCTGCTCTGCTTCCGCAAAGATCGACAGTCTTGGAAACCCTATATGGAACTAACTGGACAGCACTTAACAACAACAAACAGCTCAATGTTAACAAATATTGAAATGAAAGTTCTGTATGAGCTTATCAATCCACAGTCAAAAGAGAACAGGAAATTGCAAATGTTCACTAGTGAGTGAGAGAAAGTAGAATGCAAGCGATTTAAAGGGCAAGAACAAATGCATAAAAGAAAAGAAAGAAAAATTTAAGCTAATAATAATAATAATTTTAAAAATCAGGGAAGAGTAAAACAAATTTAAAAGAATCAGGCCTAAGACAAAGTCAATTTTCCATAAATGATCAGCAATAATGTTTCTACACTATTTAGCAGCTAACCTAATTTTTACTCACAGTTGTTCACATGGACACAAAATTGCCTAATTCCATTTGAATCCATGAAAACTTTGGTAGGATATGGGGAATTACTCCTGAAGATAAGAGAGTTGTCCACACACACCCAACTTGTAGACCTGTAAAGAAACAGGACAGAGAATTGGATACACTTGGAAGCGGAGGGTTAGATCCAGAGGAAGGTGCTTGAGCCCTGGAATTTAAGGCATTTGCTAAAGAGAACTCCTGGGGTGGCCGTGAGTTAACACACAGTCCTTAAGGGTTACAGCACCAAGGTTAACTTTTCCTACTTGGAAATATTACCTATTATAGAACTCCAATCCCCTTTATGATAAAACGACTTTAGCAGCTCACCTCACACTTCCAGGTAGGCAGAAAGAGAAAACTGTCCTCGGATGGAGAAGATAGCAGTCCCTGTCGCAGCAGCAGTTTATATCACAGTCACCAAGAGTCAAATCACAGACACAGATTGGTAAAACTAGGAAAGAAAAAGCAGAAGGAATGAGATGAGGATTCTCAACCTGGCTTCGAAGTGCTAACTTCCCGAACCCTTCCGACAGCCCCACCAACTCTTCATTTAGTGACAATTCAACTTTCTTCACAGAATTTCAGATGAGAGGCCAGTAGTTTCCCCTCACCTGGGAAGAGGTCCGCTGTCATATTCCCAGGCGCCGAAGGGGTCACGGTAGTGGGACCCACCGTAGAAATAGCAGGCAAGGCCCGGGAGATTTCAGAGCCCTTAGAGGAGGATTGGAGAGTCCCGCTCAGAGTACTTGGCCCCATGTCTGAAGAGGTGGGCACTGCTCCTGATGGGGAGGAATATGGCTGAGGCCGGGCCCCCTTAGGGGCCATCAGGAAAAACGTTTGCAAGAGCCAGAGCCACGGGGCGCACATGAAGCAGTCGAAACCCTTACGAAGCTCGATCGTCGCTAGACGCGTTGCTAGAGCATGGGTGGGAGGAGTCGCGTAGCGTCGACGTCATCCACAGGCGGCGGCTCATTGGCTCATTGGTGTTTGTTGACAGCTCTTCAGCCAATAGAAAATAGGATTCTTACGGTCCTTCTAGCGTCTGTTAGGTTGCGCCACGTTGGGCTTTGCCTCCGACGTCTGGCAAACCGCCCAGCAGGCTAAGGCGCCCTTTCGCTTTCTGTCCGCCAGGTGTCAGCAGGAGTTCGGCGAACCGCGCAGGCTTTGTGGCCTTTGAAAGGGGAAAAACCCCTCAGAGGCCAACCTAGACTGAGTATCTTTCTCACCCCATATAAAAAGGGTAAGAAACTATCTCTATGGAACTATAATGATCTAGGGAAGATAAAACAAAAACAAAACACATACTTAAGAGAAAAAGAAAAGGCTCATTCAAGTATCGTATTTTCTTTTTTTTGAAAACACATTGAAAGAATGTCCAGCTCTTGAAATTTTAACCTTGAGAAATAAAACGAACTCAATAAATTCATCAAATCATTGAATTTGGACTGCGCATTTGTTGTTAGAAAATGTAGTGAGAACGGGGGAAAGAAATAAAATGGGGTAGGGAAAAATGTGAGGATGACAAGAAAGAGTAAAGACATTTTCTAGTAAACAGATGAAGAGAAAATATGAAGCAGAGATGGAGATTTCCAAGAATGGAGAAGAAAACTCTTTTGATTCCAATCATCCTAGTGGGTATAAAGTTGTATTTCACTGTGGTTTTCATTTGTATTTCCCTGATGACTAATGATCTGGAGCATCTTTTAATGTCCTGGTGTCGCGCTGTACTATATAGTACAAGAGGCTTCTCTGGGTTGCTCCGTCACTTAACAATAACAATTTTCAATCGATTTCTGCAACTAAATATAAAGTCTGCTTTTTGTAGAGAGGATCTTTGTTTTTAATTCAGTCTAAAAGTTCTATTTAAATAATTTTTACTTAATACTTTTCAAATATAGTTGAGTTTGTCGTTTTTTTGTTCCTGGATTCCTCCTTTACGGCCCCCTCACCCGCATTAAGTGAATATATTTTTATGTAGATTTTAATTTCATTAATGATTTTTACAGTATTTTTTTAGTCCTTCAGTGGTTTCTCTGGGGATTACCGTGTTCATTAGCACTTTTCAAAATCATCACCTTCAGATTTATACTGAATTAACTGAATTCCAGTGAGATAAAACATTACACCTATATAGCTCCTCCTCCCCCAACTGGTGGTATTATTGTTAGACAGATTCTGTTGATGTTGCAAACACAGCAATACATTGTTATTTATTATTATCTAATTTTATGTATTTTAAAGAAGTTCAGAGTAAAAGGGAGAGCATATTTATAATTTTCCACCAGTGGTGGTGGTGGTTTGCTGCGGAGTCTATTCCAACTCATAGCACCCTGTATAGGTTTTCTGAGGAGTGGCTTTCGAGTTTGAACCAATGACCTTGTGATTCAAACGACCTTGCTGTCCAGTACTTATCCTACAGTGCCACTTTTGCAATAGTAGTAGTGTTTTAAAAGTTAAATTATTTTATCTGCAATATCTCTTCATTGGAATGCTGGTGTGGTGCTGCTGGTTAATGCACTGGACCGCAAGGTCAGTTTGAACCAGCTTCTCCTGGGAAACCCTATAGAGGATCGCTATGAGTCAGAACTGACTCAACAGTACTTAACAATAGCAATCTCTTTATTTCTGGGAGACATGAAGTCAGTATAACTACATGCTTTTCTGTGTTTGTTGTTGTTAAGTGCTGTTGAGTTAGTTCTGACTCATAGCAACCCTGCATAGAGTTTACAAGGAGTGGCTGGTGGGTTTGAATTGACAACTTGTGGTTAGCTGTCCAGTGCTTCTCCTACAGAGCCACACCAGGACTCCTTGCTGTTTCTGTGATGTACAGTCAGTTCTGACTCATAGGGACGCTGGATCGGGTTTTCGAGGAATGGCTGGTGAGTTTGAACAGGAGACCTTGTGGTTCAAACCAACCTTTCAGTCCAGTGTTTATCTTATAGCACCACACCAGGATTCGTTGCTGTTCCCTGGTAACCTAAACAACTGATATGTAGTCACCACTGATAAACTTAAAAAAAAGTGACATGATTAATCACAGAATTATGCACAGCTGTGATTTTTCATAGTGATTTGTGAACTGAATAGCTAGAGGCAGAATTTGTACTTTATGCGATTACCCACAAGTAATAAGTATACTTACTGTCTAACAAACTTGAACCATGCTTTCGGGAGACAAGTGCTCGTTGGAATTGACTTGATGGCAGTGGATTGTTGGCTTTGTTGGTAGTGTTAATTAGCTAAACTGTGGTAACTGAAACTCATGCATATGAGAACTATGCAAAGTAAGGACTTCCTACATTTAAATTCTTCATAATAAAAAGTTGTGGAGAAAAACATTTTTCACCCTTCAAACTCTCATCCTATGATTACTCATTTGTGGTGTCCTGGTACGTCCCCCTACAGTCTTTTTCCTCTGAAATAATCTTTTTCATCTGTTTATTCCCCTTAACCTCCACAATTCATTTCTTTCATAAAGTTCACCTCTGGGATATATTTTAAAAAGGTGTTGTATAAAAAAAATCTTGATAACTTCCTATTCAAATGTTGTTTTAAAAACTCACCTTCTAGTAACGATGCTCATGTGGTGGTAGGCAAATCGTATATAAACACAGAAGTATGAGGGCACTTCAAAAATTTCATGGAAAAATGGAATGAAAAGCTAATGGATTTTTTCCAGGAACTTTTTGAAGCACCCTCATATATTGTATTGGTATGAGTTGTTTGGTATGGACTACCTTATCTAAGAGGCTCAATTGTTGAATGTAAATACCCTAGAAGTTGAAAAACTTAAAAATATTAGTTGCTTTCTCTCTATCTTTCAAGGAGCTCTGGTAGCATAGTGGTTATGAGTCAGGCTGCTAACCTCATGGTCAGTAGTTCGAAACTACCAGCAGTTCCTCAGGAGAACGATGAGGCTTTCTGCTCCTGTAAAGATTTACAGCCTCAGAAACCTTATGCAGGGTCACTATGAATTGGAACCGACTTCACAGCACATGACCACCACCACCACCACCACCCTAGAATTTGAAAAATTTACAAAATACTAGTTGATTTCCCTCTTTCTCATTTGTGTACATGCCTTGTCTCTCTTTCTCCCTTGTACTCAAACTCTCTCTCAGACCTTCACACAGGCCCCCACTTTCTCCCCATCTTCTCATTTTACTGTTTGCTTACATTCTTGGACAAGACTTCACTGTTCAAATGCTTTGGAGTCAGTAACTAAATGTATCACTGGGTTATAAATGTTTTCCAACAACTTTATATAATTATGTGATGGACCATTGAGTGAGATATGTGTGTGTCTTCTGTTCCTCTAGCTAATTTGGGCTGGTCTGCATGCCTTTCCAACTGGGAATATCCCACTCCTGAAGGTTCTGGGTGGGGTTCAGGATTTCACCTAAGGTCCCATACTCCATCAAAGTTTAACAAGAAAACCTGTTTTCCTGGGTACATTCTAGACCCTTTTCAGATAACCCAATAACCTGTTACAGACTAAAGGTGGGCTTACAAACTTTCTGTAATCATCGGCTCCAGTTATCCTTTCTATCCCACTTAGATGTCTATATTACCCTAGCAGGCAGAGGAACCCAATATCTGCTAAACAGCCCAACACTTTAACATTATTTCCTCTCCTTTACCCATTCAGTCTATGTCTCGATCCCTATATCATAGAGCCTTGTTTTTACAAGGCTGTGGAAACGTCACAGTCCACCTCTGCTCCATTTAACCCATGTATGCCTCCCAGAGTCTTTCCCTATTGCCCCCACTCCTCTACCTTCCTCCCCCTTCTTGTGCATTGCCCTCCTCCTATTTATTTATTTCCCTCCCTGTTCCCTGAGTTAACATATGTCTATCCTCTGACCTGTGAGTTACTGTCCCCTCCCTCTAGCTCCTGGTAACCCTAGGAGAATTATTCTTTTGGTATGGAAATCTTTTCTTAAGTTTTTATAATAATGGACTTATGCAATATCTGTCCCTTTTTGCCTGGCCAATTTCACTCAGCATTATGTCCTCAGACTCATCCATGTTATGTGGTGTTGAGCAGCTTCATCGTTGTTCTTCAAGGTAGCGTAGAATTCCACTGTGGCTATGTACCAGAGTCTGTTTATCCATTCCTCCGTTGATGGGCACTTGGGCTATCGCCAGTGTTTTGCTATTGTGAATAGTGTGCGATGAACATTGGTGTATATATATATCTACTCGTGTTCTGACTAGTATTTCTTGTGGATATATATCAAATAGAGGGCTTGCTGGATCATAAGGTATTTCTATTTTCAGCTTTCTGAGGAAGTGCCATACCATTTTCCAGAATGGCTAAACCAATTTGCAATCCCACCAGCAATGTAGGAGGGTCCCAGTCTCTCCACACCCTCACCAGCATTTATTGTCCTCTGCTTTTTTGAACTTCATTGTTACTGCTGGTGTGAGATGATATCTCATTGTTGTTTTGATTTACATCCACTGCGGGCTAATGCATCAGACTGCAAAGTCATTTGAACTGCAAGGTCGGCACCAGCTGCTCCTTGGAAACCCTATACAGGGTAGCTATGGGTCGGAATTGACTTGATGGCACTTAACAACAACAATGGCTGATAATTGTAAACATTTCTTCATATGCTTGTTTGCTGCCAATATGTACCTATTTTTCTGGAATAGAACATTTATTTACCTTACTAGTAATTTCTGTAGGACAAAATCATGTTTAGATTATTCAAATTAAGTGGAATTACTAGAATACAAATGCCACAAAACAGGGTTTTGGTTTTTTTTTTGTCTATTTTGTTCAGTAATGTGTCCCCTTCCTACAACAATGCTTGGGGCATAGTGGCTATGCAATAATTGTTTAAAAAATTATTTTAATGGGG